TGCCAGACTCAAAGCCTTTAATAGAGCTTTGCAATAACAGATAACAAGTTTCTAAATAGTTTCTAATCATCAACACCGAATCTGGAATCCTGATTCTGACTGATTTGAAGGTGTGATAAAACCAACATGTGTTCCTTTGTGTTGTCAAAATATTAACTAGTGCCTGTAAAATGAAAGTTGACCTCTGCAAGATGTAAATCAGAGTCTTCTTATATAAAGAGCTATAGAAAACAATAAATTAAAGTTATATTTGATCGTCAAATTACATCCTAATCAGTTTCCTTTCAGTCGACTAATTGCTGCTGCTCTAATTGTTTGCGTCTTTAGACAAAGCCCATGGGCCTCGAGGTTTGTGAGCGCTCTGCTTGGTAACACACAGCTCCTCTCCAGCCTCATGCACAGACTCTGGGACCTGCTTCACAACCAGGTGCATAAACCCACATTTATTCCCTCTATTTATATCTGACTTTCACTTTGTGTCGTGGACTTTTAATTTTATTCTCATGCTTAAGAAAAAAAAAATAAGTATTTTTATTCTTCTATATGAAGTGGCTGTCGCTGAATGCTGCCCATATACTCGGCCTGGCAGCATTCCTGGTCCACCTGTATTCCTTGGGGTCTCGTGGTCCTCTGGTTCAGTTGGTGCCGCCCATTCGGCTTGAGCCAGTGCCGGCTGAAGAGGCTCTGAGCTCGGCGCTGTCCTGCAGCACACACGCCAACATGCTGTTCTGTGCCAGGTGACTTTTAATGGAGCGTTTTAATGATTGCATGCTCTCTTTATGTGCCTACAGCAGAGAAAGTTTACTGGTTAACGTGTGTGGATATCATCTTTAATTCCTTTGTTAATGATAATGTCCTGCACCTGTAACTAACAAGGATTGGCCATGCATACAATCCACATCTTTACATCTTCAATATATGTTCAGTAATAGTGATTTGGCTCATTGTGGATGTCCAGGTTGTGTGTAGCAGCTGTCTGTTATGGGATCTGCAGAGAGGACTCACTGCCTCAACAGCAGGACTGTATCCCC